GGTTGATAGTCGTCTTTGTCTGTTTGAAAACAGGTACTTGGATTGTTATCTAAAGCAGCTGTGGGTGGCTGTAACGTACCAATAGAACTTGTTGGTGATGATTTTAGACTGGCTATGTTACTACCATCTATATAAGGAATACAAGCACAACGAATAGGTTTTAAGATAATAATAATGAATTATTTCTATATAATGGTCGGTCGAAGTTTTGATATTTATGTTAGCTTTCGGTTATAAGATAATCGTGATTTTAAACCAAAATAGAATCGGCTACCTTTGTTTGTTTTACAGTTACCTTACAGTAGTGTCTCCAGGCCAGAAATTTTAAAGTTAACCAGGGAAGAAATTAGGGGGTAATTAATAATGGAAGTTAAATTTTAGAAAAACGAAACATTTCTTAGAATACTTTTATTCGAAGAAAATTTTAAAACAGCACAAACTGCAGCAGAACTTGAAGCGATTCTTCACCCGGGTCGTTTTCCATTTAGCTTCTGCTAATTTAATTCTGGTTATATTCCAAGATCAGGCGCCGAGTTCACAAAGCATTCTCAGACTTAAACATGCATTATGCAAGAGCTAAATCTGATTATTGCAAGTCTTAATTTAGGCTTCAGATGTTATAGAAATTATAAATTAGATCTTTATTTAAACAACAAGACCAAAATCAACTCTGTAGACCCACGGATGGCTCGGCTACAGCTCGGATTTAAATAGGATTTCACTAATTGATTAAATCAGAAAAGAGGTAACCTGATGAAAATACGTCAGTTAGATCGAGGCTAAATGATAGAGTGTACTTAGCGAGGCCGCTGTAAAGCGTTTCCGTATGCCATTGAAAACATTACATGATAATCGAGATATGTAGGTGGAGTTAACGCCTGTCAATCAAACGTTCAGCGACGGTGAAGACACATTTCGCTACCATTTCTAGGCAAATATTACAACGATGATAACTATGTTCACAATTAAGTAATTTGACTGAATTGTTCAATATATTCTTCTTTCATCATCTACTTTTGAACTATTATAGCAAGAATGACCAACTCTCTATAAATATCTCCCATAATGTATCTTTAAATAAGAATTTACTCAAAATTGTTCGCCTTATTTTAACTAAAATATAGCAGTTTCTTTTATGATCAGTAATGGAATACCGCGTTTTATCAGTGAAATATAAGTGTTATTCCACTGGACAAAGTAGTCCATGTTGTTTTTACCTAAAATGATTGTAAAATCATAAAATAAATAGAACATTTGTCGTTTTGTCGTGAATAACATTTTTATTTCATCTCTAAGCAAGAAAACGTTTATATTTTCACTCATGCTACGCATTCGTGAAAATATAAGTTTTCTTGCTTCTCGATGAAATAAAATATGTTATTCACTCTAAAACGCCAAATATCCTCTATTTATAAAACTTTAATTGTTTTAATGTATCAAATACAAAAACAAGAATCTATGTGCAAAGTTTTGTGTTTCTGGATTAAAGATATTTATCATAAACAGCGGTTGAAAGTTGAGTAAATTCTTAACTTAAGTCTGAGAATGTTTTGTGAACTCGGGACTAGGTTTGTGGCGAAAAATTCCACCACTCAGCCAGTCAGCCTCGAGGCCAATGGCCACATAAGAAAAATCCCATAATAGAAAGAGAGTACAGAGATAAAATATCAAATCTTACCAATAATCAACAAGAAAACCACCATACCAGGATCGGGATCTGTTTTAAGTTCTTTCACATTCCTTTTATAAAGATGACATTCTCTTCTTTGTTGATGAAAGGCAAATGCCAAACACTGGGGTTCAAATTTACAGGCAAACATGCACGCAGGTTTGGAACCTCTCGACACCATTTTTAGTGCTGAGTTTGGTAACACGTTTTCAAAGACAAGCGTAAATCCCAGCCAACAATCGCGACAACCGCAACTTAATTTGTTCATCAGGTAGAGAAAGAGGAAAACAGTCCGAAACTGTACAAACATGTTGTAAATTTGTATATGGCTAATGTTGTCAAGGTGTTAACCAATTGTCTAAAGGAGGTATGTAGACTGTCCGTTCTAGAACATACCAATATTAAAGTCAAATATATAAAATCTATTCAGGAATATCAGAGACCAGCTTTCCTGATTCTGGCTGTATATTAAATCAACAGCCTGAAGAATCTACACAATATTGATCGTCTCATCTGTTGTTGCTTGGTCACTTGACGATTTAACAGACATTGATTTTATAAACGAGATCCAGAAGGGCGGTAGCACATCCCAAGTCATCTGTTGTCTGGGAACTTGAGAATTGGACACAAATCATCTGTGAAATAAAGCAACCAAAATTTGGAGATTTCAAGAACACTTCACATGGCGTATCACGGCAGATATAGATATGTTATCAAGTCGGTGATTATTTTGGGGGTAATAACTATATGTTATCCAATCGATGGTTATGTATAAATTTAAGATGATGATGCCGAGAACAATGCTTTTAATTAATAGACTGGGTCTTTAGATGTCTTTAATTATAGAATTGTAGTCTTAATTGATCAAAGTTATAGCAATAAACTTGAATGGTAGCCTAAAAAATATCCATAATGTTGTTATGGTATAGAAACAAAGTAAAAGCCATAGACATTGATTTCTTTCACACAAACAAAACGTTTCAGCTTGAATCGTTAATAATACATTTAAAATGCAAATCCAATTTTAAACAATACTCAATCAATGTAAACGACATGGTTATGACAAGGATTGGATTCACGTGGCATAAGTATTCAACCCGCTTCAATAATTTTATATCTTATTTCAAGGGAAATTCAGATTTTGTGGGTTTGGTACAAAACATTCAAGGATATTTATCACGAATAATGATATTAAGTACAAAAAATGATTGGATTTTATTAGTAATTTTTAACTCGATAAAGTTTTAAACCGTAGGCGATAGTGTTGCTGTCCTGTTTGGACCAATGTTTGAAAGGAAAACGTCCATGCGCCGAGAACAGTGTTCGCTGGGGTTTCTATTTGTAACCAGCGAATTAGTGTTAAATTTCTAGTTTAACATTATTTCCAAAAAATCACAGTTTCATGGCATGAGAGCTACGACAGCAATGTTAAAGTTTGAACATGTCAAAGAAATCAATCATGGGCAATATCAGTTTAAATAAAATGGTTCTTGATCGATAGATTCTGCAAAATTCTCTAGAATCGATGTCCATCGCGACCCGGCAATGGTGTCTATAGTATACCTGGAATAAAATATAAGGGAACCCCTGAGTGGATGAAGAATGGCTATGAAATTGAACCGGACAAACTATTCCATGGACCTTAACTACCTAAGCTTGATGCATGCATAATGAGTGTGCGGATGGAGCGCGTGATACACATGCAACACATAAGGTGGGCAATGATGGGGTGGAGTGAAGGAGGCATGCGAGGTATTCTTTAGAAGAAAACTATTCTGCTTCGTAATTGAGAAGATTGACAACTTTGAGTGGAAGGGGCAAAATTTGTTCCTATCAAAATCTTGTTTTTCGCGTGGTTGCCTGTGCATTGCTTTTCATCTTAGACCTTAATTAAATCTAATCTTGATACCAAAATAAAATCTTTTACAAGAAAATAGACAGATTATTTGCTCAGCTGGACAATTTCTACAACAGTTATTATGACGCCATTATCATTGTTGATTATTTCCTGGCATCTGCAACCCTTGATATATTTAAGCAATGTTCGGTGTATTTAAAATGTAATATTTATGCGTGTCCACCAAAATATAAAGCTATGTACGGGTGGGGGGGGGGGGTGAAGGCGGTTGTGTACTGTAGATCTTGAGACCAATTCTGAAAGAGTTTAACTGGCCTGCTTCCAGAGAGAGAAATGGGGTTTAACGTCCACTCGACACAAACTAGGTCATCTCGGGACTAACATATGGTTTAATTTTATTTCAATAATTCGCTTGCGCGTAGGGGTCTTTAGCAGTGGGAGGAAACCGGAGGACCCGGAGAAAACCCACGAGGTTGGACAGGCGACCCTACTCCTTGCCACGTACCACCGGGGATTCGAAACCACGCCAGTCGACTCAATGATAGACTTTATGATACAGCGCGCGCACGCTAACCATTCAGCCATCCAACCCCCCTCCAAAATATAAAGCTATGTACGGGTGGGGGGGGGTGAAAGCGGTTGTGTACTGTAGATCTTGAGACCAATTCTGAAAGAGTTTAACTGGCCTGCTTCCAAAGTACACCAGCAGTACATATACACGTGGTGTATTTATATACCGCGAGTTCACAAGGCATTCCCTGACTTAAGAATTTACTCAAAATTGTTCGCTTTGAAAGTCAAATAGTTTTTCCCACCTTTTGTTTTATGTTATCAATTACAGAGTGACGCCATAAATCTAGCAGTACGTATGCTTGCTATAGCTTTTATCAGGCCCCGAGTTTACAAAACATCCTCAGACTTAAGTTAAGAATGTGCAAAGTTCTATGTTTCCGGATCAAAGATATTTATCATAAACAGTGATTGAAAGTTGAGTAAATTTCTTAATTACAGTCTGAGAATGCTTTGTAAAACCAGGGCCCGGACTTTAACAGAATACAAAACACTGGATCATAATAAGATAATGATTTCTATATTTGATTTCTATACTCCCCGGCGATCCAACCTTCGTTCTTCAAGTGATCGTAGCATATTGAGGATCCCCAAATATAATAAGCGTTCTGGTGAATATGCTTTCTCCGTCAGAGCAGCTAAAATGTGGAATGATCTTCCAAAATCTCTTTGAGAGTCCTCTTCCATCCAGAGCTTTAAGACTAACTTAAAAACATACTTATTTCAAAAATGTTTTTGAACTGTTTTGTTGTGAATGCGCTTAGAAACACTTATGTGTAATGAAGCGCTATATAAATCGAACAATAATAATAATAATAATAATAATAATAAATATGTATTATAATTATATACACAACACATCCATATAATCAATTTGTCATTTAACCCATCACTAGGCCTGAGTATCATAACCAGAAGATGGTAATAGTAAATGTTTAATATTGTTTTCTAGTAAGTATGTTTGATTTTAATACCATCAACTCAATACAATCAAACAGACTACTTCTCACACCACCATTATATCTTAAAGTTAAATGTTTAATATTGTTTTATAGTAAGTGTTTGATTTTAAAACCATTAAATCAAACAGACTACCACTCCCAGTAGAATATATCACCATCCTGTACACCATACAGTGATAATGATAGATCTGTATTGTTGTTGTTATAGATCTGGTAGATGCCCTTCTTCTGTTTTACATTATAGATACTAGTAATACAACAAACACAATCTATATCATACTTCCTTCTGCACTCCTCCTTTATTATAGGTTCTAGTTCTCTTACAGTTTTATCTCTACTTACACTTATAGTCATATTACCACTGTAAATACAGGTAAATATATATTAGATTATAATATCTACCTCTATAGATACAGGTAAATATACTCAGCCAAATTAAAAACTTGACACTGATTAATTTCAACAAAAAATTTTTTCTGGTAAGTCAAATAAATTTTAAAGTGTTTCTAACGATAGTCAGTAGTAAGAAGCCTTTAATTTCATAAAATTGTAAAGTCACGTGGATCACGTGACTTTTGAGCATATAAAGATGAAAAACCTGAAAAGCACGTGTAAACACAAACTCGTGAGGTCAATCGATGCAAGTTTGCTTAAACTGAACACGCACACGTAACATGAACTGGAAAAACAAATTAAAATTGTTATTTTCATCTTTGTTAGAAAATGCCGCGCCTTTCAAATGTAGAACGTCTACGTGCTATAGGTAGGCTCTCTGCTGGTCAGTCTTTGTTCACTGTTGCAAGAGCCTTTAATTGTTCACGCCAGACAATAATTAATCTTAGAATGAGAGTGCTTCAAACTGGAACTGTTGCCGACCGCCCAAGGGCGGGGGGGGGGGGCACGTGTGACGTCACTCCAGGAAGATCAAGCAATACGATTACATCATCTTAGAAACATATTTGTCACTGCAACCTCCACAAGTAGAGAGATGTTTGGTGGAAGGGTAACTGCACAAACTGTTCGAAATCGCTTGAAGGCTGCTGGTCTTCGAGCTCGGAGGCCCTATAATGGACCAATATTGACACCTCTTCATCGCCGTAACCGACTTTACTCAAAGACAGTGGAATTCGGTTGTCTTTAGTGACGAATCTCGATTCACTTTGAGATTTGCCGATGGCAGGGTCCGAGTGTACCGCAGACGAGGTGAACGTTACGCTCAAGTATGCGTCAGAGAAGTTGACCGATTTGGTGGCGGCAGCGTCATGGTTTGGGGTTCTTTTTGTGCACATGGACGTTCTCCTCTTGTTGTTGTCCAAGGGAACTTAAATGCTGTCCAATACAGGGATCAGATTTTGCAACCTGTTCTTCTTCCGTTTATGCAGAGACATGGGCCTGGACTAACGTTTCAACAAGACAATGCTCGACCCCATACAACAATTGCTACCCAGAATTTTTTTAAGAAATGCCGGTGTCCAAGTCTTGGATTGGCCGTCGCTTAGCCCCGACCTTAATCCTATTGAACACATCTGGGACGAACTGGGTCGACGTGTTCGTCAGCAAGTGAATCCACCACTGACGTTGCAGGACCTTCAACATGCTCTTGCTGAGCAGTGGCGACGTCTTCCTCGGGTAGTGTTTACTAATATTCTGAAATCCATGAGAAGACGTTGTGTGGCAGTACGAGACGCTAGAGGGGGCCACAACCGTTACTAAACACTTTATTCCGATTGTTCTCCAAGTCTGTGAATTTCATTTTGGGGGGTACTGTGACATCACGAACGTTATCAATGTCAAGGACTTTCAGCGAGACGTATTCTTGCTTTCTGTTGATGTCAAGGTCGTCTGTGCACAACATAACACTAAAATAGTTGCCTTAAACCAAATATTAAAAATCTAGTCCCAAAAATCCCGAGTGTCAAGTTTTTAATTTGGCTGATTATATATTATATTTCGTGTCAACCGTATGAAGTAGTTAAAGAGAATAAAGAATATAAAAGAAGTTGGACAACATCAATGTCATTTACAATCTTCAATACATATCATGAGGGATCCAAGACTAGACCAGTTTGATATTGGACAGTATCAATGTGATTTACAATCTTCAACAGACATCATGAAATATAAAAGACAAGACTAGAAATGTTTTAATTCTTAATTTAATTAAAACGTCAATTACGACCGGGGCCTGTTTCACGAAATTTTAACTAAGATAAAATCCTAATTTTAGTAATTTAATTGGATAATAATTGATTGATTGTAGTGCTTAGCCAATCAGAATTGAAGTATCTACTAAAATTTGGATGTTATCTTTAGTTAAGATTTCGGGAAACAGGGCCCAGGTATCTACTTACAGCCATTTTGCAGTCAGGGTTATTATATCACCCTTTTCTTTATTTATATTTTTATCCGTTTTCTTGATTCCTGTTTTATCTTCCACAATTTTATCCCTTGACTTGAGTCTATGTATCTCGTCAGCCTGCCTCTGTATCTTGTCAGCTTGACACTGTAGCTTGTCAGCTTGACTCTATCTGATTGGAGTTGTTGTATTTCATTCTTCATTTTTTCGACATTTTCTTTTAGTTGGTTAGTCAGATTATTTTGTATGTTGTTGTGTTCACCTATTTGTACATTACAAGGCAGGTGGAAATTAAGATTCTGATGGTTGACAACTTGTTGAAGTGTCTGTAATCATAAAAGATATATTGTATTTAGTCAGCGGAAGTTTTTGATGAATTGGAAAGATTGCCACAAGCTAAAATTATGCATCAGCTGGAGACATCAGGATATACTCTAGCAAGCACCATTAATTTGCAGTAATTTTGCCAAGAGTGGGGGCCCCTGCCCCTTAATAAAGTTGGTGTTACATAATAAGAGCGACAGTGATAGGTAAAAGATTAGAATCATCATATGATAGCTTGTGTTATAAAATTTCCGATGTCCTTCAATTGACCATACTATTGTATAATTTATCCAGTGGCTGGCATATCTATAGTGATCAAGTTAGATAACACGCAGCGTTTACTACAATGTGTTCAATTGTCACACAACAATTGTTCTGTAACCTGCTATGTGATTATCGTATCAGTATCATCAATGAATGTACAATATTTAGTATAAATTAAGTTAGGTTTTGGGATATAAATTTTGTCTACGATATCACCTCGGTGGAAGCGGACGTTAAAGAAAGCTATTTCACACACGGGATATAAATCAGACGAGCTTTGGTAGCTCACAGAGAAGGGTTTCTCATATATTCAATATACCATTGTATATGTTAGAATAAAATGTTGAATCCAGATCATCTTTTATTTCTGTTAACCCAAACTATGTTATAATCATATTAGACCTGGGCAAATGGGAACTTTTTTCTCCAAACGAGTGTTTTCTATTGCCATTTTGGTCGCTGAAAACGAATCCGGCAAGTTCTGTGGCCCAGGATGGATTCTCGACCTGGTTCAGTGGTATTTTTCAAAATGGCGGCCAAAAACTGATATTTTTTTCCAAAAAACTCGGAAAACGTCAAAATAGGGTTTCTAATATGGCATTTGATATGTTTTGAGAGTCGCTGATTCCAAAAATGCACAAATGAAAGTGATTGGCGGCGTTCCCAGAGCTGTCTGTACCAAATTGAGAAAATTTTAGTGAAAAAAATGTGTTTTTTAAACAAAGATTGATTGCGATTGCTAAGCTTATCTCTCGGAGTCATGCACAGCATTCTGTCTCCCTATACAACGATTTCAAATCGTGGAAAGTGAATAACGGACTGAAATGTGATGGTTTCAGAGGTTTCGTCTCAAACAGGTTTGCTCAACAGATGTTTAATCTGTAATCAACGGTACAAAGTCAGAGGGGTCAAAACCAAAAGTACGACACAGATGTCAGTAGCGCGTGTGTCCTCCACGGGCTCTTACGCACGCTGTGCAGCGACGTCGCATGGAATTTACCAATGTTTGGAAGAAGGCCTGGGGCAAATTGTTCCATTCTTGGACAAGAGCAGCTTCTAAAGACGGCGTCCAATCTAATCCCAGACATGTTCTATCGGTGCCATGTCCGGAGACATGGCTGGCCAGTCCAAGACATTGCTGTTGTTAGCAGCCAGGTAGTCCATACTAAAACGGGCGGTATGCGGACGTGCATTATCCTGTTGGAAGTGCTGAAGTTGTGGGTGCGCTCGAAACATCGGAACAACAATTGTTTGCAAGACATCATCACGGTAGGCTACAGCATTAACGCGACCCCTGCAAATCTGTAGGGCGGTCCGGTGATGAAATGTGAAGCCTCCCCACACCATTACACTTCCCCCACCCCATCGATTCGTTTCGAAGACGCAGCAGTCTGCAAGACGTTCCCCAAGACGTCTCCACACACGTTGACAGCCATCAGCGTGATAAAGATGAAAGCGACTCTCATCACTGAAGAGCACACTTTGCCAGTCTACTCTTCTCCATGTCTGGTGTCCTTGAGCCCATATCAAACGCCGCCGACGGTGATGATCCCTGAGGATAGCTCCAACATAAGGTCGTCGTGCACGGAGTCCTTCTTCTCTTAGACGACGTCTTACGGTGTTGGCACTTACTGGTCCTTACAATAGTGGACTGATGACAATTGAAGTGTCTGGCAATAGCACGTGTAGACATGCCAGCCCTGGACATTCCCATGGCTTCATTCCGTTGATTTTCAGTAAGTCTCGGCATCTCTAGCTCGATTCCTTCACACGTCCAACAACAAATTACGACAGATTGACGTTTCACAGATTATGTACTGCACATTAAGTTGAAAACATGCTTTTAAAGGGCTCACACACATTGCTGCACGTGAATATTGGGTTTTTCATGTGCATCTCGTGCAATTTTTTTTTGTGCACACGGGCCGATATTTTTTTGCGTTTGGGAGCATTGTGTGAAACAATAGTTCATAGTATTGCATAATATTATACATACAAAACCACCTAGTAATAAAATATTTGGGAAAAAATGTGATGCGTTTTCCATGGCGCTCAGTATACAATAATTATGTTATTAACATTGATTATATGAAACACGTATGGAGCTCACATAATATCGTATTATGCTTGTTTTACTTGTACAGAGTTACTAGTTTTATCTGAAATCTTGTGAAATGTCATAGTTGTACAAAAACAGTCCATCATAATGTTTTTACGTATACGTTTTCGTGTTCAGCGACCCCCATAACATATACAATGATATATTACAAGCTATAGTTAGGTGTTTAGTTCCGGTTTTATCGAACAAAAATATCATTTTTGGCCGCCATTTTGAAAAAGGTCACTGAACCAGGTCAAAACTCAGACTTAGGTCAAAGAACTTGCCGGATTCGTTTTCAGTGGCCAAAATGGCCATAGAAAACAGTCGTTTTATAGCGGGTTATGGAAAGTGGTTCCTATTTGCCCAAGTCTAATCATATTGGGTATGGTGGGCCAGTTGACAGAGTTATCTCGCTTATTACCACTTCCGATCAATTGTAAAAAAAAATCGAGTGATTTATGGCAAATAAACTGACTAAGCATTTTTGAAAAAAATTGAAATATGTGTTTTTATCGAAAGGAATATATATGGAAGGGAATCGAGTGGCTGATTTGTAAGGCAAGGCAATTTTATTCACGATTTGGAATTAAATAGCGACCGGGGTACCTCACGGAGAAAGAAATGTCAATAGAAAAGTATCTTATCTTTCTCTTTTATTGGGAGCCACGGTGGCTAAGACGCTGGCTCGCTAGCCTGGAGGTCGGGTGTTCGATCCCTGCATTGGCCGAGAAAGTTCATCCCGATTTTCCGACGTGGTTTCCCCTTGTCAGTGGTGCAGAACGGAGGGCCTGACAAGGACAGCTGTCTAGTCCTTCGGATGATACGAAAAACCGAGGTCCCGTGTATACATTGGAATGCACGTAAAAGATCCCTTGGCAGTTGGAATTCGATATTCGATAGTGCCGCTGCCCTGGCAAAATTTCCCTCATAACGCACGGTATGGCGTATGCCCGTCTTCATTAGCCCAGTATAGGAGCAGAACAGTAGGACGTTAAACCCCATTTCATTTCATTTCTCTTTTATTATATAGGCAGAAGGTATGATTTTAATACGAACATGTTTGATAGTAAATATTATATTATTTAGCACCAAATAGGAAGAAAAATAAAGCAGATTAAAAAATTTGAAAAATATTAAAAAGAAAACACAGAAAATCATCAAAATATTTTGAAAATATCAGATAGGTGCACCATATTAGGGCGTGCCTGTCCCCATGTACCTGTGCAATATTGAAGCTAAGTTTACTGTATTCTTTCAATCTGTTGAATTTCACGGACATATGTTAATTCTACTCAATGTTAATTATACTCACCGTTGTTATAGTAACAGATTTAATACACACAACTTTCTTCTACTCGGATCAACAGAAATGGCGAGACAAACGGGAAGGAAATATTAAATGTCCAAGAGGGAAATCCCCGTCTATGATCTATGCGTTGTAGACAAGATTATACTGGTCTTGTGTTTACAAATTAATAACATGATAGTCAAGGCTACCGTTACGTCAGCATATTATTAAATAATGGGAATACCCACAATATAACCCGGTTAGACCAGTCTATAAATTAGTAAGGGGGTTGAATGACCGAAAGGTTAGCGCATGCTTGTTGTATCACAAGGTTTTCTCCGGGTCCTCCGGTTTCCTCCCACTGCTGACCCCTACGCGCAAGCGAGTTATTGAAATAAAATTGAATCATGTGTTAGTCCCGAGATGACCTAGTTTGTGTCGACTGGACTTTAAACCCCATCTCTCTCTCTCTCGCTAACTTTAGTTGTAGAAATAAATTGATTGGCAGATACTTTGCAATTGACGTTGTTCATTACAATTTTGACGTCCAATACATTTATAAGTTATATTCATATGAAGGCGTAATAAAGTGCTATTGACTGGCCGAACCGGTTTATATTGTGGGTATTCGATTTACTAAATAATATGTTGACTGAATATAGTAGACTAGACTGTTATGTTATTGTCTAGTAACCACAAAACACAAGGACAGTGTAATATTGTCTACAAGTCGCAAATAGACGGAGATTGCCCTCTGTTGATCAGAGTCGAAGAAGAAAAGTTGTGTGTATCTTACTATAACAACATCATGATAGCTGATACGGTGAGTAGAAGTGTGTATTAAATCTGTTGCTATAACAACATCATTAAGTCTGATACGGTGAGTAGAATTAAACATATGTATGTGAAATTCTTCAGATGTGAGAGAGAGAGAGAGAGAGAGAGTTAACGTCCACTCGACACAAACTAGGTCATTTCGGGACTAACACATGGTTCAATTTTATTTCAATAATTCGCTTGCGCGTAGGGGTCTTTATCAGTGGGAGGAAACCGGAGAAAACCCACGAGGTTGGAGAAGGAATATAGTAAACCTAGCTGATATATTATAGCGACCCCTGTCTTGTCCGACGCTACAATTACTGGTAGGAAATTTGATTTTGAATTAAAAGGGAGTCACAGACCGGTACCTTTTTTTGGTAATCAAATGATCACAATACCTGTGTATAGGATACTCTTTACTGTGTCTGGAGGCAAAACGGGGGACAGCGGTAGTGAAACCATTTCTACAGTAAACAGGGCTCACACTGGCTTTCAATTTTTATCCGCCAAAATTTATGATAATTTTTATATAAAAAAAATGTTCATATTTTTTTTCCGCCAACTGGAATATTTTATCTGCCAAAAATGTGTGACAACATCTAACGATTTTATGTCTCGGCTAGACTTATTAATATTCTAAAACAATAACCGATATATACAATACAATATACAACAACTTTAAAAGTCTCTCTTTATATAATACATTAGCACAGTTTGGATTTAATATCAACTATCAGTTGTACCATATATAGCCAGGGACCGAGTAATCGGACAAAAGGGAATTCCCTTGACCCAGCATTCGGGTCACATCCGGTCCAACAAAATTGATACTTACAAAGCGACAGCGCTTCAAGTTTGATCTGTAATTAATAACGCTGTAAAGCGACTGATTTAGTTATATTGGAGGCTGCACAAGGATTAGATAAAGATTCTTTGACAATAAAAGGAGCAGAAGGTGTCGCTGGTAGTGATCGACTATTGTGAAATGGTCGAGGACAAAATGTCTTCACCGAGTCAAAACAAAATGGCGCGTGATATACTTTGTCTCCGTTCTAGTATGCTAGACAAGATACTGTAAGGAGCTTTAACCCATTCAAGTGCCTGTGCACCATTGTTACGATAAAAAATGTTGTTAGTTAGTTGTATTTTACGTCCGCTTCCACCGAGGTGATATCGCAGACAAGCGATAGTTGTTGTTGTTTGTTAGTTGTATTTTATGTCCGCTTCCACCGAGGTGATATCGCAGACAATCGCAGACAAAAAAAGAAAAGTCTTTATATATATACACTAGTAGTAGTATCTAATTACCATATTAGACCACGCCCACCATTATTGGCCTACTAGTAGTATCTGCTCAATGTTGAACCTCACCCACAAGTCTTACGCTAATAATTGAACTGATTGATTGAGCTATAGTTAGCAGTTTGCGATATTAATATAATTCCTATACATTTAAATTGGTATGATTTATGTGTTGACTTCCACTGACTAAATAAAATCTATTTTATATTTACAGTCACTTCAACAGATTGTCAATCATCAGAGTCTTAATTTCAACAACCCTTGTAATGTACAAATAGGTGAACACAACATACAAAATCAACTGACCAACCAACTAAAAGAAGATGTCGACAAAATTAAGAATGAAATGCAACAACTCAGGTTGGACAATCTTCAACTACAATCAGACAAACAGGGTCAAGCTGACAAGATACAGAGCCATGCTGACGTGATACAGCAACTACAATCAGATAAACAACGTCAAGCTGACGAGATACAACAGCTCCAATCAGATAAACAGCATCAAGCTGACAAGATACAGAGGCAAGCTGAAGACATAAAGCTACTCAAGTCAAGGGTTGGAGTTGTGGAGAGTAAAATGGCAGCCAAGACAACAGATAAAAATATAAATAAAGCAGAGGATGAAATGATAACTCTTTTTGTCCCTGGTCTGTAAGTAGATACCTGACCATTTTGTCCTATCATTTAAACATAAATTATGAAAGAGCTAAATCTTTCTAATACATTAAACATACATTATGCAACAGCTAAATCTGTCTATTGCAGGTCTTTCTTTGGGCCTGAAATGTTGTCTAAATTATTAATTAACATTAATTAACTTATCCCGACCATAATCAACCCTAGATGGCATCGCTAGCCTGCTATCTTTAATGGATTATGAGCCGATTTACTGCATAACTTTCCTTCACGATTAAATGGATAATCGAGACTATGCTGTTTAGCATACTGACTTTAGTAATGATGATCGAGGCTAGGCAAAAATTTCAATCGCTTAGTTCTCGGTTCATAGTGGATCAATTTGAATGAAATTTTCAGCAAATTGCCTTAACAGTATCTAGTTTTTAACTATTATAGTGAGAATTGCCAATTCGTTATCGAATCTACCATAATGTATCCTTAATCAAACTGAAAATGAAAATATTTCTAGTCTTGTCTTTTATATTTCATGATGTGTGTTGAAGATTGTAAATCACATTGATGTTGTTAAACTTACTTTATACTCTATATTATTTTTAACTACTTCAACATACATTATGCAAGAGCTAAATCTGCCAATTACAGGTCTTTCTTAGGCCTGAAATGTTATCTAAATTATTAATTAGAAATTAATTAACCTATCCAGACCATAGTCAACTCTCGATGTCAACGCTAGCCAGCGATATTTATTGGATTAGGATCCGATTTGCTGCTGATGATTAGATCAAAAAATGGATAATTGAGACTATTGTATATATCTTACAGGCTTGAGTAATGATGATCGCGACTAGGCCTAAAATTCAATCGCTAAAATCTCGGTTCAGAGTGGATCAATTTGACTGAAACTTTCAGCATATTCCCTTTACATTATGTAGTTTATAACTATTATAGTAAGAACTGTCAGGTCTTTATCCAATCTTCCATAATTCCATCTTTCATACGGTTAAAAAGAAATATAATTATAATATATTTACCTGTATCTACAGAGGTACATGTAGGTATTATAGTAGATATAGAGCTATTATTATCGCCAGGGGCGCCGGTACCAGGGTATACAAATGGTACCTTGCCCTTTTCTGGGGTATATATGTATACCCATGCCCTAATGATGAAAGTCTTCAACATATAGAGCTACTATTATCGTCAGGGGCGCCGGAACCTGGGTACCAGGGTATACAAATGGTACCCTGCCCTTTTCTGTGGTATATATGTATACCCATGCCCTAATGATGAATGTTTTCAACCTTTTTACTTGTGAATAATCAGTTCTTTGTCTCTTTCATTATGTATTTTAAAGGGTTTTATGTTGGAATTTGGAATGCTAGAGGCGCTCTAAACAGCGTTCTCGGAATTGACAAATTTCAAAATTTTCTAGAGGCCGCCCCCCCCCCTATCTTTTGGTACTCTGGCCCTCGCGCCGTTCTGGCGCCCCTGATTATCGTATACTATATATTTATCTATATTTACAGTGAGTATGGTGATATCACTATAGGTATAAGCAGATATAAATCCGTTAGTGAAGTAGAAGAGATACTACTGGAGGAGTATATACGGATGTATGGTGTAGATGATGTTAAAATTACTACTATCTACAGTTTAAAACAGAAGAAAGACATCTACGAGTACGACATTGACAACAAAGATCTACCATTATTAGATTACGGTGCGAATAATGGTGATATAGTTAACTGGTGGGTGTTATCTGCTTGATTGTACTGTGTTATAATGGTATTAAAATCAAGCATACTTACTATAAAACAATAAAACATTCAACTTGAACATGATGGTGTTACAGGCCTAGTGATGGGTTAAGTAACAAATTAATTATATTGTATGTGTTGTGTATATAATTATAATAAACATTTACCATTAACATATTATGGCGGTGTTACTGGCCTAGTGATGGGTTAAGTAACAGATTAATTCTATTGTATGTGTTGTGTATATAATTAAAAAGTCCGTGACTATCACATTATGTTGTAGTGTTTTGTATTCTGTTAAAGTCTGTGACAAGCATATGAATACGCCACGTGTAACCTGCACTGCTAATATTATGACGTCACATATTATTAACTAAATAAATAAATAAATAAATACATTTTTATAGTATAAATATTTATAAACAGTTTGATAAACATGACAATTCACAGTCAAACAAAATTCGTAACAGTCTTGAGGTATTCAATGGGGGTCTTGGCACCAGTTATTAATAAATTCTTCTCTTCTACGATTCTCTCATCAAGGCGGCGGTACTTTCTTCTTTTGGGAGCAAGTCTGCGCCCAGATTCTATTTGTCTGATCGTTAGTTCTACATCTTCCTGTTCAAGTATTAGCAATGTATTTAAAGTTAACCGGAGCGTTCGCGTTTTTGGAATGACCATTTGCGATTCAGAGGAGCTATATATATCAACTGATAAGCTGTGATTAAATATCAGTAGTTTTTTTGTTTTTATTTCAAATTAATGATTACATCAAAACAGCTCACAATGTAAATTTATTAGTAAACCGATTTCACTAATTTGCCCAATCTACTGATAGTGGGAAGTGTTCACCAGTAACAATAACTAGAGTGAGAAGTTTACATCAGTGATACTAATTAATTAAAACAGACTATAGTCCTACACCCACAGTCTAGTAACCTCCTTATCCTTTGTCGAAACAATCAAATGTGGGGAAAGTGAGGTTATCCCTGAAAAGATGAATATTGTAATAAAAGATTAGTGCTAATTTGCAGGCAATCACTTAGTCAGTCAATCAATCAATCAATTAGATTAAAAGACAATAGTCTTGCTACGCTTTAATCTTCATCTCAAGGTAACAAGTGACAAACCAAACAATGGCCATCAAGTATCTCATCATTTTATGGTTATTTAATATAAAACAAATATATATTTTGTTTTAGAGTCATGCTGAAAAATTCATCAGTAATTATAGACAAACTATTTGGATTGATTAAGAATTTTATTAAATTACTTTAACAGAAATACAGAAAAATAAGGTTATCTTTTCAATTTCTATAAAAAATGTTTTTTATTTATATACTCATAAAGTAGTGGGTAATGGTAATTAATTACTTTCAATGTTATGGGTAATAGTAATGAATTACATTCTAAAAATGAAAAAGTGTGGAATGATTACATTTAAAAGTAATGGTAATGTAATTAATTACATTGGCAATGCAATGGCCCCAGCCCTGATCTGAATATATATTAACGTGGTTTATACCGTGCAAAATTTGATATTTTAGCGAATTTGGGATTTTAATGTGGTTGATTTCAGTTCAAGACAACAGTTTCACTAAGCTGAGATATTTTCATACATCTTGTATTTCATCGAACTGCATATTTAATGAACCTCTCTACAAATATTGTTTTACTGTTCCCAGTGGGTTATTATCCTATTACAAAATGTTATTCAGGCGTTTCTTTATGGATTTATCATATTCGTACTCGCATCAACAGTCTAGCATCTTATAAACACAGTTAAGCATATTATTCGAACACTTGTTGCTTTAGCATGCGCCTAGCTATGTCTAGTATTCATTAGTCAGAGACTCTAAGAATAAGTAGGAAAATGGAGAAATTCTTGATGGGAATTGTCGCTTCTCTAATGTTCAAAGGTAAATATTTAAAATTATAGACTTTTTTCAAACCATATATAGTCTTCAACTCATTAATAATTATTATCGCTCTTCTTTTGTTCAAAGGTAAATGTTTAAAAACGTAGATTGCTTTCTAGCAATATATTATACTTTAACTTTAGAAAAATCATGATGGGAAATTGGCGCGCTTTTGTTCCAAGGTAAATATTAAACATCCGGGTATAGTTTAATCACTATTATAAATAACACAGTCCATTTTATCTGATTGAATATGCGTAATTCATACAGTTTTCAAAGCTGCCATTTTATACTATAACTTATGCTTGCCTCACTGATTTTACAAATTTCTAAAGTTGGTAACTCACTGGACAGCGACTGTTGGCGACAAATTGCGCACGGCATTCGCGATAAAGTTTCCAAAATGTCTCGAAATGTTCGAGGGGGTTCTCAATTTTCCCACGTGAGTAGCAAGGCATCGATCTCGTATCGCTGGAATTTTGAGCATGTTCAAAAATCAAATTCTCACTTTTGCCGCGCGACGTGTATTCGAACTCCAGGCGCAATATTCGTGCGAAATCTGTGCCACCAACTAAAAATTGGCACTAATTCACATATTTTCTCGCAATTTTGTGTCTCCACCTAGTTACAAGCTGTCGAGCCCCAGTTACTATATATCTTTAGGCAACTTGTAAGCGGCGACTTTTAATTGCCTCCATACTGCTTCAAAAATCACTCGCGTTTACGTATCGACGTTATCGTCACCGACAAGATTGATATCGTCACCGACAAGATTGATATCGTCACCGACAAGATTGATATTTGGCGACACTAGCTTTTGGCAACTTGTAAGCAATTATTAATGCCTCTATATTTTACAACAATGACTGGGAGGTCTGTAGCAAGCAATTTCTCGGAAAGTAATAATTTTGTCTGACTCATAAGCGCAAGCAAAAATATAACGATATCTTATAAAATGGCGGCCCGCTTTAATCAAATTTTCATTTTGACTAGTCACTCGATTTAAACAGTAAAATTACAATCGAAAGAATAAAAAATATTTTATTTTGTCGAATTATTCATATAAATATATACTATATATTGGTCTGTGTCGGGTGGGCGTTAATTTCTGTTTTGCTTTGGGCGCCGCGGACTACTGTCTAATCTTTCGGATGTTACGAAAATTCGAATCCCTGTGTACATAATTGGCGTGTACGTAAAAGATCCCATGGAATTTGATATTCGATATAAGAGTAGGCCGTAGCGCCGTTGTCCGGGCAAAAATTTCCCTCATAGCACACTGTATGGCATATGTCTGTCTTCATTAGCCCAGTCGGAGCTGCACAGTAGGACGTTAAAGCCCATTTCATTTCTCTTTATATTAACTGTCTTCAAATCGGTACCAGGAGTGTTTCTGGTTGATCTAGCTCAGCGGAATTTTGAACGACATTCACTGGTGTCTACTGATAAGTTCATAGTTGATTTTTTCTTTATTTAGTTTGAGTCATTCTATACTTCTATGACTAGTCTGTGTCTACGATTGTATGCCGTCTGATTTGCCGTGTTTTTATTTTGCAAAATTCAAATATTTTTCATATATATTTAGCCAGGTGTGCCGCTATTTTTCATCAGTTCCAAGGTGTGCCGTTGGGAAAAAAGGGTTGAGTACCACTGATTTAGCTTTATTCTTTGAGATTCCTTTACCTAACCAGTCCAAAGAATCAATGTCATTCTCGATTAGCTGTCCCAGTCAACAATATAAAATATACATTTTGAATAGTAGTATTGGCTGCGATATCACTCTCGGTGGAAAGAGAAACGGAGTTTAACGTCCACTCGACACAAATTAGGTCATATGGTTTAGTTTTAGTTCAATAATCCTTATGCAGGAGGAAACCCACGAGGTTGGACAGGCGACCCCACTTTGTCACGTATAATCTGGGAATCTAAACCACGCCACTTGCCTCAATGAGAGACCTTCTGATCGAACGCGCACGCGTTAACCATTCGTTCACCCAACCCACAAACCCACCCTCGGTGGAAGCAGACGTTAAAGACAAATAGAAGAAGATAGTATTGAATCCGTATATTTCATAATCTCAGTTGGATTCTTGACTACATATAACTATTAAAACAAAAACATTAAATTCTAATATATTTCAGAATGTCAGTTAAATTATTAAAGATACATTAGTTAAGAGTTTATAAAGAGTTGGCCATTCTTGCTCAAATAATTCAAAAATAGATGATAATATTAAAAAAATAGATGATAAATGTTGAAAATTCCAGTCAAATTACTTTGTTCTGAACGGAATTGTCACTGTTGGAAGTTTGAACTAGAAATATGCATCAATTGTGACTGCACCGTCTATGAGAATTGGCGATTGTTTGATTGATAGACGATAACTTCACCCACATATTCTCGATTATCAAGTAACACGCTCAATGGGTATGGCACCAGTTTCCGGTAGTGACTCCAGCGACTAACGGCAAACGTTAGCTTGGTTCGCCATTTATTGATTTAATTTTAAATGGACGACAGTATAAATCCAAACTGTATCCACGCCATCCGTGGGTCTATTGAGTTGATTTTGAGCGTGTCGTGTAAATAAAGGTATACTTAATAATTTCTATAACATAAAAGCCTAAATAAAGACTTGCAATTTACAGATTTAGCTCTTGCATAATGTATGTTTAAGATTGAAAATGAATTAAAATATCTTCTGAACTTGTCGCCAATAAACAAACACCATGAAATCTTTTGAGGGTTTTAGGTAAATATCCCTTTGAGATCCCTTGTCTAGCGAATGGTGTCATTGAAAGAGAGCACTATATGAGACATGGCATTATACGAACTTAACATTGTTGAATTATTATTTTCAGTTTGCTGTAGTTTACGAGCGTTCACTCCAGATAACATTGACTACGCTGTTCCACTAGCAAGAAAGGGACTTACCTTTACAAATATCACACAATTAAGATTTAAACTAAAAGCCTGTAACGATGGTAATATATTCCTCTGGGAAGACGAAATGCCGAAAGTACGTAGTGATGTGGGCTGGGGTTTTATAATCGGATCCTCCGGGAACCAAAAATGTGAGATTGTGTCATCAGAAATTGCTAGATATAGCGAGCATCTGGAATCTCTCTTAGACTGTAACGAGTTTCGGCCTTTTTGGATCCGTTGGAAAGGAGGATTGTTAGAGCTGGGAAAAGGGAGTGAATTTGGTATTGATAGGATATCTTTTCATAAAATCAGTCCTGTGGAATTCCACTATGCTAACCTACGGAGTGGATGGGGAAGTACTGCCTGCTGGGATATAGGTAAGATATACGTAAAATATTATATCATCGACCTGG